AAATAATTTTTGGACACTTTGGAATTTGGCATTCTATAATAGTATTCATTTCCATTAAAATTTGATCCCAAAAATGCTGAATTGATGGGCATGACCACCATGCATGGTAAAAGGTACCTTTGTTTCCACAACCTTTCCAGCACCATGGGGGTATCTTCACTGAGGAATGGGAAAGCTGAGCTGGGGTTAAATACCACCTAGCTATTACCTTGTAAGTTATCAATTGTATATTCATAGAAGGGGAAAGATAGGCTGAGGAATTCCAAATCTGGAACCATTGGTCCTCACTGAGGTGTTGTTCTAAGTCTTGATGCCATGCTGTTTGATATCTAAGCAATTTTGAGGACTGCAAATTAAGTAAGATTTTGTACAATTTAGAAAATAGTCCTTTTATAGGTTGAGATTCGGTATCTAATAATTTTTCAAAATCGGTGGAAGCTAGACGTAGTTTTGCAAATTTTGGATTATGTAATAAATTATGTAACTGCAGGTATTCATGGGATTTTTATGTTGTATTTATTTTCCAGCAGGTTTGTGTCTTTAAGAAAACCTTTAGACGTGATATCAATAAATCTAGTTATATTGGATTTTCTCCAAAATTGAAAGGCATTGTAAAATTTGTTAAAGATGAAATTGGTGGTGCTAATTTTTTATTGTATTTATGCCATATCTTAAAAGTTGATTCGAGAAATAAATTTGAAGTATTTTTTAACATATTGTGCAATTTATAATTCCATAAAGCTTCTTGGATAGAACTAGTAGGAAGAAACAAATTTTCAATGTATTTCCAGTCTGCGTGGTAAGTATCTCTATATTGTTTAACCAAATTGGATAAAATTATGGCATCATAATAGAGTTGTAGGTCTGGGACTGCTAAGCCTCCTAATTTTAAAGGTTTTATAAGGGTCATATAATTAATTTGTGGTTTTTAAAATTGCCATATAAAATCAGAAAGAAACTTTTGCCATTTTCTAAGAAGGGTTGAAGGCAATGTTACCGGGATAGCCCTCATATAAAATATCATTTTTGGAAGAAGCAAATATTTTACTATTCTAATTCGTTCCAACATAGTTAAATTTAAATCATTCCATCATTTTGTAAGGTATAAGATATAAGAAAAAAGTTGTAGATGGTTTACTTTAATAAGATCTTTCAAATCATAGGGTATTTGAATTCCTAAATATCTAAAGGCTGAAGTAACCCATGTGTAATCAAAGCGTGTTTTGAGGTAAGTTTTACTTTTTTGTGATAGATTGATAGGATACAAAAAAGTTTTTTTATTATTAACTTTAAGTCCTGAAACTATACTAAATTTGGTTAAGTGGGATACTATAATTGGTAGCAAAACTTTGGGGTTTGATATAAATAAAATCATATCGTCCGCAAATAGACTAATTTTTATTTTTTGTTTGTTAATAGATGTTCCTTTGAATTGAGGTTCATCTCTCAACAAATTTGCAAGGGGTTCGACCGCGATGGTGAATAATAAGGGAGAGAATGGGCATCCCTGCCTAGTTCCTCTATTCATGGATATAAAATTGGAATTAGCCTCATTTATTCTTAAAAATAGTTGTGGAGCAGAATAGAGTGCCTGTACTATGGAAATAAATTTGTCTCCAAAATTCATGTGTGTCAAAAGCTTGAAAAGGTATTGGTGTTCTAAAGTATCGAATGCCTTCTCTATGTCTACGTCGAGAGAAAGCATACATGTGTCAATTTTAGATTGTTTTTTGCTATATTGTACTACATTTAGGACTTTTCTAATGTTATCAGTTAAGTCTCTTTGAGGAATGAAACCAGATTGATCTATGGCAATATATTCTATGATTCTATTAAGTCTTTGGGTGATAATATTTGTAAATAATTTATAATCTGAGTTAAGCAAAGAAACTGGACGATAATCTGAAGGGTTTTCTATATTTTTATCTTTATTTGGTATTAATATAACCTTTGCTTGAGTCCATGTTTGGGGAATACTGCCTGAGTCTAAAATTGAATTAAATAAATTTAAAAGGTGTGGAGTTAGTAAAGATTTAAATTGTTTATAATACTCCGCTGTGTACCCATACTACATTTAGGACTTTTCTAATGTTATCAGTTAAGTCTCTTTGAGGAATGAAACCAGATTGATCTATGGCAATATATTCTATGATTCTATTAAGTCTTTGGGTGATAATATTTGTAAATAATTTATAATCTGAGTTAAGCAAAGAAACTGGACGATAATCTGAAGGGTTTTCTATATTTTTATCTTTATTTGGTATTAATATAACCTTTGCTTGAGTCCATGTTTGGGGAATACTACCTGAGTCTAAAATTGAATTAAATAAATTTAAAAGGTGTTGAGTTAGTAAAGATTTAAATTGCTCTGTAAAGGTACTTAATATTGATTTAGTGGAGGTAAGTAAGTTTCCTTTTGAATCATGAATACCTCTGACATCTAATTCGAATGTCCTTTTTTTAACTTTCCAGGCTAATAATCTTAATGCCTTAGAGCTGTTATGCCAGTAAGCTTGTTATATAACATGTTTTTGTTATGTTTTGAGTCTCTAGTAGTTGCAGTTTTTTCCTTTCTATTTCCAGTAACTGATACGTTTTCTTAGAGCAAGTTTGAGAACCGCTTTATAGGTGTCCCAAACTGTATTAAGAGAAATATTTCCTATTAAATTAAACTTTAAAAATTCCTGAGTTTCATGTTCTATAGATTTCACGTCTGGATTTTTCAATAAAAAGTTATCAAATTTCCAAGTGAAACTTCTATCGGATTCATTTGTTAATGAAAGTGTGCATTGCACTGTGGCATGGTCAGGCCAACATTTGGGTTCTATATCTACTGATTCTACCTTATTAATTAAAGAATGTGAAACAAAAACATAATCGATTCTAGTATACGTCTGGTGTTTACTTGAAAAATAAGTATAATCCCGTTCAGTTTCATTAAAAAATCTCCAGGTATCAGCCAGATCATATCTTTGTACTATTTTTTTTAGACTAGTAAAATTATTTTGAAATGAGAGTTTTGTTCTAGATTTGACATTTTTTGTCTGTTGTGATGTCCATTATATAATTCATATCTGCACCTATTATGAGAGGTCCTTCTTGGAAAACACTGAGCTTTTTCAATGTTTCTTGTATAAAGCTAAGTTGAGCAGAGTTAGGAGCATATAGAGCTGCAATAGTCAATTTAATGCCATTTAAGGTTCCTTTGATAAATATATAGCGCCCTCTAGTGTCCTTTTCTATATATAGCGCCCTCTAGTGTCCTTTTCTATATCTGTACATGAAAATCTGTTGTGTTTGGATATTAAAATAGTTACTCCTCGTGCTCTGTAAGATCCAGGAGCATCAAAAAATGTTGTAAACCAAGACAATTTAAACAGAAAATTGTTATTATTTCATAAATAGGTTTCTTGAAGTATGGCTAAGTCAGCACTTTGTTTTTTAAGATAAGCATGAATTCTCTTAGCTTTAATAATATTATTTATCCCTCTGCAGTTCAGAGAGAGTATCCTAGTTTGGTTAATGATTGGTCCCGGTCACACGGGCAGGAAACTGCGGGGGGGGGAAGCGTGGCTGTTTGCCCCGGGGCAAACTAACACGCAGTTAAGCGATCAGACCTCCTGTGGAGGTTCTGTGGAGGTACCATGGAGCTTCCGTGGTTAAGGTGAGGTGTCGATCACAACACACGCCTGCGCGCAACGAAGAAGTGCGCGGCGCGGCGAACTGGTTTTATTTTTTTGTGTACATGCCATTTAAGGTTCCTTTGATAAATATATAGTGCCCTTATAGTGTCCTTTTCTATATCTGTACATGAGAATCTGTTGTGTTTGGATATTAAAATGGTTACTCCTTGTGCTCTGGAAAATCCAGGAGCATCAAAAAATGTTGTAAACCAAGACGATTTAAACAGAAAATTGTTATTATTTCATAAATGGGTTTCTTGAAGTATGGCTATGTCAGCCCTTTGTTTTTTAAGATAAGCATGAATTCTCTTAGCTTAAATAATATTATTTATCCCTCTGCAGTTCAGAGAGAGTATCCTAGTTTTGTTAATCATTGTATAGTATAGTCATTAGAATTTTTTGTGGCTTCCTAATGTAACATTGGTCTGAAGCCTGTTGGAAGAGCCTGGAGTATCCTTGTTCTATTATTTCAATAATAATAGCAAAATACAGCAACAAATATAAAATCACCTTTCATTGATTCCCATATATAGTAAAAAATATATAATATAGTATTGAGGACAAGAAACAATAAATTAATATATATTGAGAACATCAATGATTTTGAACAGTTTTCTTCACTGGTAGTTTTACATCTCATACTTTCATTGCAAAGAGTTGCACAAATATATAGAATGAAAAGCAAGTTATGGCATGACTATGTTCCAAGGTAATTATATTTTTATATAAACAGTTTATTTCACTGTTATATTTCCAAATAAGATAAACATCTTCAAAAGCTCCAAAAAGTTTCATTAACTTTATAGAACTTAAAGCATTCTTGACAAAAATATGAACTGTGAAACTTGGTATAATAACGTTTTTTATAAAAGTATACCTTAACTTGAACCCAAGATGAACACTGCAAAAGCTTCAAAAGGTTTCATTAACTTTACAGAATTTAAATAATTTTTAACAAGAATATGAACTGTGAGACCTGGTATAACAACTTTTTTGTAAAAGTATACCTTAACTTAAACCCTTGTTCCCACCCTCCACCCCCATATCCATGTATACTGAACAAGATAAACTTAACTAGATTTTTAAACTGCCCCCTCCCCTCCCTCCCCCTTTCCCAACCCTCCCCTTGTCTGTCTTCATTGGAAACATTAGTGCAACAGAGAGAATTAAACAAAATTAGTACTAGAAATAGAACTTTGCACTCTATATAAGAAAGACCACCCGGATCTGGGAATGAGGGAAAAAATAACCCCCCCTATCTAACAGTGGTCTTTCAACTTGTAGACATACATATTACATAGATTAGAAGATTCTTACCTGTTCTTATTTTCAAGTTCTGCAATAAGCTGTCTTTGCTGCTTATTTGCATCAATAGAGAATGAGATATCTGGAGCACCTCTCTGTTGCTGCTGTTGCTGCTGCTGCTGTGGTTGCTGCTGCTGCAAAACAGGATGCACAAATCATTACAATACTCAGTACATTCATGTTGTACAAATACATCCAAACAAAACGTTCAGTAAAAACATATCACAACACTGGCATAATGTGGAAGCAAATAATAAGAGCTGTGAAGTTCTTGGGTTCGAATATCATTTTAGCTGAGACCAGTGCTTTTTTTTTCTTGGGGAACGTGGCAAAATGGAGTTCTGGAACCTCTTTGACAAAAGACTTTTGAAAATGTTTAAAAGTTCATGAGTTTTCAGTATACAGATTGAAAACTTCATCTCCCTCTTGAGAGTTCTGGCACCTCTTTAAAAAGAAAAAGAAAAAGCCCTAGCTGAGACCTCATCTGGTGGTATTAGACAAGCCTCTGTCTCTCTCCATTTTCAATATGGGGATAATAAGAATGACTTCCCTTACACAGCGGGATAATGTACACATGAAAGACACTGAACATTCAAAAAGCATATATAAATTAGAAGAGTTACTGTTACCATACTGTACAACAGTACAGACAGTTTCTGCCATCATAGATGAAACCCTTAGTGCTGTCAGAGGCAAAATTCACATTGGCCTTTTGTAAGTCAACATCAACAGAGGCCTTGTCTTTGTAGTGTTCTTTGTGCAGCACTTTTGCTGCAGAAATGGTGTCCGTTCTTACTGCAGTTTAGAGGAGGCAAAATCAATAGACAATGATTACCAGGCAGTGTTTCTAGAAAGAGGAGAAACACAGGCTTCCTCATGATCCTTTCCAGTGTGATCTAATGAACAGAAGCACCCTTGAGAGAGGTACTTCTGGTAAAGAACTAAGAATCGGTCCTTAATACCCAATATAAAGACTCTTGTGATAGGCAGACTTTGGTGGGGGCATAGGCTCTCAAATTCAGGTTTTTCAGAGGACAGTTTATATTTAAAAGCTTTTTGATATGCTGACATTTTCCCATGAGAAGCATATAACACATGTTAGACATGAGAGAGTTGATTGATTTATAAATCGGACTCCGCTGTCCCACTCTGCTGGGTAGCTGCTTTCCCAGCGATGTTTCAGTGGAACAGAGCTGTGAACAAAGTTAAGATCAGATTTTAAAAAAAAGAAACTCCAACATACCACTGACAGTTAAACACGGTCATATGTAAAATGCCAGGGTAGCGTCCTAGACACACCCCATACCCAGTACAAAATCTGTTTCTTAGCAATGGCCCAAATCACCTTGCTTGTCACAGCCTCCCATAACCCACTGCCAAAAAAAGAGTTCAAGTCCTGCTACAGCACTAGCAAGTCCAAACAGACTACAGATTGATTCCTATTAATCTGTCCTGATAACGTTTGTGCCTTTCTTCTGTGCAAGGAGCCCTTCTCCAGTGGAACACACCTCTTCTGCCAGAGGGAGGCTCCTTGTGCTGCATGAGTGCCCTTGTTTGTAGGAACGATTCACAGGATCCAACCCCATGTTAACTGTACACAACACATTTTTATTGGTGTCTATGTGAAGGGAATAAGTTCTTGAAAAAAGGCTGGAATAGTGAACACATACATGGACAAGGACAGATGTACACTTCAAGATCAAGAAATGACACTGAATTAGCAAGTAGTTCATT